AGGCAGTATCAAATTGATTTTATTTCAGCATTTGATATAATTCATTCATTCTTCTAATAGAATTATCTACCATAGACATTAATCCATTCCTTAACCTGGAAAAGGCCAGACTGTGACCACAAGAAGGATGATATTTTAATTTTAGTTAGCTTTCTTTGTTTCTTGTTTCCTTTGCCCATCAACCCTCTGCTTCTGTGCTCTTCCTGCTTCTTGCCCTCTCCTTGCCTTTGCCTTTGGCTCCTTGCATGAAATGACATAGCTGCAGCAGTGGAGCTGTGTGTGTTGGGTGTCAGCCCAGCAGTGTCATCACCTGTGATTCTCAGCAGTAAGAATTCACCAGGCTGAACTGGCAGCATTTTTTTTTTAACTGTTGGTAAAAATGTTTATTTGAAGATTATTGCAATTTTCTTTTTCTGTTAAAAACAGAACAGCAAAAAAGGAAAGTTGTGAAATTTCATTTGGCTTTAGGCAAAAGCACAGCTATTTCTCCTGTGGAGTTTCCATTTTGATCAGAATGTTAAATATCTTCTGGGGCATATTGTAGGTTTGTTAAAAGTGAATGCAGATTAGCTCTTCCTAAAATACAGTGTTTTTCAGGTGATTTTCTGTTTAAAAGGGAGGTAAGTGAAAAAAGCCTGGCTCTTTTATTTTGGACCCAGAGATGAAAGGTTGAAAATTTTGGTGAATGACAACTTTTCTGAGTCAAAGGGCAGAGAGGAAAACTTGATTCTTTCATGTCGTTAATTGGCTTTCTTGCTTAACCATGTGGTAGGTGAGCCAGAAGCACCTTATTTGATTTTCTAGTCTTCTGCCAAGTTAGGATTACCAGCACAGATTCATCCTGTGGACAAACATGAAATACTTGAGAAATTATTTTCTTTGAGGCAGAATTTATATCTTCACCCATTATTTTTCTCCTTTCTGAAAAAGTTATTCTGAAGTAGAACTTCTTAGACATTATTTGACCTTCCTAAGAAATCACACCTACATTTTACTTCCACAGCTCAAATCCATTTAATAAAGAAGAGCTAACAGCTATTCTGAAATTTGGAGCAGAGGACCTCTTCAAAGAGCTTGAAGGGGAGGAGTCAGAGCCTCAGGTAATTAACAGTGAGAAAACAAAATTTTCAGGAAGTATCATCTCTGAGAGTCTAAGAAGATGGTGTTGGACCATCTGGTGGTTCAGCTGCTAGAATTTTTCTGCTAGAAGATTTTGAGTCTGTGTTAGAGGCTTTTATAAGGAAAAAATAATGACTTAAAGGATATAGTTTCCTTTTTTCTTTCTTTTTTCTTTTTTTTGAGACAGAGTCTCAAGCTGTCACCCTAGGTAGAGTGCTGTGGTGGCACAGCTCACAGCAACCTCAAACTCTTGGGCTTAAGTGATCTTCTTGCCTCAGCCTCCCAAGTAGCTGGGACTGACTATAGGTGCCTGTCACAATGCCCAGCTATTTTTTGGTTAGAGTTGTCACTGTTGTTTGGCGGGCCCAGGCTGGATTCGAATCTCCCAGTTCCGGTGTATGTGGCTGCACCCTAGCTGCTTGAGCTACAGGCGCCAAGCCAGTTTCCTTTTTTCTTAATGAAGCTCAAAGTTCTTACTAAATTAAGGAAGAATGAATAAAGCATTTGAGGATTCTGTCTTTGAGTTCTCCCCACCCTCTCCTCCTACCACTGCTTAGTTTTATTTCTTATAATTTCAGAAGTTTCACTTTATTTGTATAAATAACAGTTCAAAACATTAGACTATAAAAGTTAAATGGAATGCCAGAAAGAATTTAATTCATACCAAACATTTTCAGTAAATGCTGATCGCTGTTACCATCTTACCATCTTTGTACTGCTTTTGTTCTTTCAGGAAATGGATATAGATGAAATTTTGCGCTTGGCTGAAACCAGAGAGAATGAAGTATCAACAAGTGCAACAGATGAGCTTCTGTCACAGTTTAAGGTATCAGAATTTTGTGGGAGGATGTTCTTAGTATTGATTCATTATCTAATGTCTTTGAGCCAGGCCACATCTTTGCTGATACTGTTCCCACTATTTTTACTCCTTTCTTTGCTTCCAAGAAAACTTAATATAATCATGATAAAAATCAATAGAATATTCTTCCAAGTTTGTTTAATTTTTTTCCCTTTTTTCTTTTTATTTTCACTCCCAAGGCTATAGTGCATGTTTGAGCAATTAAAATCATTACATGTCGTTAACGTTTATATTTTTGACAAATAAAGTAATTAGTTGGGTAGAGGATAACAATTGCCTTTTTTTTTTTTTTTTTTTTTAAAGAGACAGAGTTTCACTATGTCGCCCTCAGTAGAATGCCATGGTGTCACAGCTCACAGCAACCTCCCAACTCTTAGGCTTAAGCAATTCTCTTTCCTCAGCCTCCCAAGTAGCTGGGACTACAGGTGCCCGCCACAATGCCTGGCTATTTTTTGTTGTTGTTGCAGTTGTTATTATTGTTAGCTGGCCAGGCTGGGTTCAAACCTGCCAGCTCCGGTAAATGTGGTTGGCGCCCTAACCGCTGAGCTACAGGTGCCAAGCCATAATAACTGCTTTGAGTTACACATTATTTCTATTTATTTATTTATTTATTTATTTTTTGAGACAGAGCCTCAAGCTGTCCCCCAAGTGAGTGTCCTGCCTCCGCCTTCCAAGTAGCCGGGACCACAGGCGCCCGCCACAATGCCTGGCTATTTTTTTTGGCTGCAGCCATCATTGTTGTTTGGCAGGTCCGGGCTGGATTCGAGCCCGCCACCTTAGGTGTATGTGGCTGGCGCCTTAGCCACTTGAGCCACAGGCGCCGAACCGACATTATTTCAAATGAACTCTGTTCAGTAGCAATTTATAGATCTATATATTCATCATGGATTATTGATAGGTTTCAGCGTTTTATAATCTAAATTTTCTAATTAGCATTATATTAGAAAATGTTTATGATTTAACAGTAACTTTTCCAGTAAAACATGTTAATAGTTTTTATGTTGTATCTTGTTTCTTATTTTCTTTTTTTCCTACTTAGGATTCTTCCAAGCAATGTTTCCTATTTTACAGTAAATTTTTTTATGAACTTGAGGGTTTGGCAAATGCCTTTGGGGTTGGGGGTAAAGGAGAGATTAGTAGACAGTTGATAATCTGATTATGCAATATCACAGGCATCCCAGTCACAGTAGATTAAAAACACTGGGTAACTTGGTGTTTGGAAATGGGGACACGTCCATCAGGCAATGGTTTGTTCATTTGTTCTTAGGTTGCCAACTTTGCAACAATGGAAGATGATGAAGAGCTAGAAGAGCGTCCTCACAAGGACTGGGATGAGATCATTCCAGAGGAGCAAAGGAAAAAGGTAGAGGAGGAGGAGCGGCAGAAAGAGCTGGAGGAAATATACATGCTCCCTCGAATTCGGAGTTCCACTAAAAAGGTGATTAAATGAGATGAGAAATCTGAAGTACTTCTTAGGCCGTAAAGGCTACAGAACTGCTCCTTCTTCAAGTAAAAGACCTTGTGTTGTTGCCATGACACAGAGGCCCCCAGAGTGGTGGTGCTATATTGTAGGAAACCTAGTAGAGACATTTAATTTGGTCCTTGCAAATGGAATCTTCTTGTAATGGCTGAACAGGGTCTGAGTTTGACTGAAGTTTTCATTTTGCCTTTGAGATTAGAAACAGTAGTCTTAATTTGGTTTTAATTGCCACTGTCTTCAACTTTTTTAGAGCCAAACCTCTTTTTGTCTTTTCAGTTGATAGTGTCTCACTATTATTGCCCATACTAGCCTCCAACAACTGGCCTGAAGCAATCCTTCAGCCTGCAATTCCCGAGTTAGCAGATAACAGGCATATGCCACCACTGGCTCCTCTTTTGTCCTTAAATGTTCATAGTACTTGGTATACATGCCATATATTTTGTTGTGTATAATGCTATTTTTGCCCAAATTTTTGAGGGAAAAATGAGGATGCACATTGTACATGGGTAGTTCTGATTATGTATTTATATAAATGTTTTTAATTCTCTTATTTATTGCTTATGCATTAAAAGTATAACTCTAGAAAGCAGTAATTATCTGTATGCACAATAATATCCTGGAATATGGTAATAGCACCCCTTCCTCCCTGGCAGCCCCCTCACCAGACAGGCACCACAGCTGCTGGAGCCTCTAGCTGGTATGGCTGATCCGGGCTGGACACATCCACCTGGGCCACAATCTTAGAAGTAGGCATGCTACTGATTGCAACATGACAGTGTCAAGACCTTGATAAAAGGAGGGTGGAAGTGGCTATGCAGTGACCTCTCCTCTTGCTAGAGGCTCAAGGAATGGCGCTAGCTGCTGCAGAGAAGCCAGGAGCAAGCCCAGGCCATAGGTTAGAGCAGGGTCCTCAAACTTTTTAAACAGGGGGCTAGTTCACTGTCCCTCAGACCATTGGAGGGCTGGACTGCAGGCCCTGGGATGAGTCCGCTACTGAATAGGACAGGCAGCGATGGCAAAAACACCTGGCGGGCTGGATAAATGTCCTAGGCGGGCCGCATGTGGCCCACAGGCCATAGTTTGAGGACGCCTGGGTTAGAGTGTTCTAGACAGCCTAAACTCCTGACCTCTCCCAACTGTCCCCTTTTAGCCTTGTCCCCACATCCTCTCATTTTCTATTCCCACCCATGTCTGTCAGTGGGAATGTGACCATGGCTGCTCTGCTGAGAATCCAGGTGGGCTTATTTCCTGCAAAGCTGGCCCTACCTGCCCTGAGCTCCTGATGGTAGATCCTGGCCGTTTCTGGGCTGCTTTCTCTCTCACACGATTGAGCCCATTCTGAGGCTCTCAGGACACCATGCTGCAGAGGATGATCCCTGAGGTGGGACGTAGGAGGCCTAAGTTCCGAGACCTGATTCTGCTAGCAGGATCAGCTGCTGTTGTGACCTTGGGCTGTAGTCCCCATGAAGTTTTTGTCTGTAATGGTACCTAGCAGTGAAGTATGAAATCTTGGTGGCATTGGATACCTCAGCCCAGATATTGTGATTTTGAATCTATGACTGATCTGAACCCCCAAGATGCTGAGTTAGTATGATTTCCCAAACTTACCAGTAGGAAGAGCCATCTAGGATGGTCATTAACAGAACGGATACCCAGGTCATTCTCCTGGAGACTTGATTCATTAATGATCTGGAGCATGGTTCAGGAGTCTTTTTTTTTTTTTTTTTTGAGACAGATCCTCAAGCTGTTGCCCTGGGTAGAGTGCCATGGCATCACTGCTCACAGCAGCCTCCAACTCCTGGGCTCAAGCGAGTGTCCTGCCTCTGCCTCCCAAGTAGCTGGGACCACGGGCACCCACCACAATGCCTGGCTATTTGTTTTTGGTTGCAGCTGTCATTGTTGTTTGGCAGGCCCGGTCTGGATTCGAACCTGTCACCTTAGGTGTATTTGGCTGATGCCTTAGCCACTTGAGCCACAGGTGCCGAGCCAGTTCAGGAGTCTTAATTTTAATGAGTCCCTGGGGTAATTTGTAGGATTTATAAGTTTTATATATTAAAGACTGGTGTCATTCATTCTGATGGTACTGAGTGCCCAAGACTTGGATGGCTCAAGGAGGTCATCTAGTCATTAAACAGAAATGTGAATGTAGAGTATTCCACTAGGGCATCAATAGGGAAGGCTTCTTCCTCCGTGCACTGTCCTTGGGGCCTCAAAATAGGGCCAGAGGTACGAGAGATAGGCACCCTGGAACAGGGAGGGATCTACTATTAGGCCCTGGACTCTCACACCAGCTTCCTAGGAAATAAGCCCACCGGGGTTCTCAGTGGAGCAGCTGTGGCCACATTTCCACAGACGTGGGTGGGAATAGGAAATGAGAGGCCAGAGGGATGAGAGTGGGCTGGGAGGGGACGATTCGGGAAGTCAGGCACTCAGATCGTCTGAACCACTCTCACTGGATGCGTGAACACTCCTGCTTCTCCCCAGCAGCCTGTTCCATGCCTCACACCCCTCATGACAGGAGACGCCACTGCATGGCAACCTCTATGCTCCTTTAAAAAATGAATATGAAAGATTATTTTTCCCCCAGAAGTTTGATCAGAAATGTTGGTGCATGTTACACTCATACACAGAAGTGTATTTTATGTGACAAAATGCACTACTTGTTCAGGATTAATAACTATAAATAAGGTACATATACTAGCTTCATAGCGTATAGAGCACTATGACAGGCAGTGTCTCATTCAGTTTTTTAGAACAATGAAGATGGCAGAGCAGGTTTTATTATGTATTTTGTGGAGGATAATAGATTCAGATTTGTTCAAGATCATAGCCAGTCAGTGTGATGTAATACTAGCTACCATTTGTTGAACACTCAAAATGTGCCTAGCTTAGTTCTCATTGCTTTTATACTTACTGATTGATTTAATCCTCATGAAAACTCTGTGGTAGTATTGTCTCCATTTTAGAAATGAGAAAACAGAGGTACAAAGGGGTAAAGGTACTTGCTCAAGGAAGTAAACATGAGTCTGTTTTATATTAAATATTATTTATATTGGATATTATGGAAATACCCAAATATTTTAACACCAGTTCATGTATCATTACATTGCAATGTCTCTGAAAATAAGTCTATCCTAAACAGGATTTTATGTCCTCTCTCTCCTTATTTGTTAAAGGAAAAATTGACTTGGCTATTACGATGGGAAATTCTGAGCACTAAAGAATTAGGATGGGTTGGTCTTAGTCCTTTCACCACTTGAACCTGGTACTTGCTACTGTGTGACTTTGCCTCATCTTTTTCAGGCTCAGACAAATGACAGTGACTCTGACACTGAGTCTAAGAGGCAGGCCCAGAGGTCCTCTGCTTCTGAGAGTGAGACAGACGACTCTGATGATGACAAGAAGCCAAAGCGCAGAGGACGCCCCAGGAGCGTGCGGAAGGACCTTGTGGAGGGATTTACTGATGCCGAAATCCGAAGGTTGGTGGAGGTTTGAGCTTGTTTGGAAGGGCATTCTGCAAGTCTTGGGCTGATTGGATCCCTGACATTTATTGACAGGGTAGGCAGAGGCTAATACCTACAAAAAGTCAACTGAAGCTGAGTCATGCCCCAAATCTTCAGGATGATTCTTCCTCTCCCAAGGTTTTCCTCAATTAAGATCTTTTTTGCTTATTGTTCATCTCTTTGTTTACCTCTTGTTCTTTGGTTATTCAGAGAATTTTTCAAAGAAAGTTTAGCCACAGGGAGACCGTTTACATATATAGATGCAGACTTACGTATTCGTGTATAAAAGAAGTAAATATCAAAATTAAAAATGGTGCAAATGAGAAGTATACACATGTTCAGCAGTGTGCTTTTCTTCCTTATTTAAAATCAATTTTAGACCACTTTTTATGGGAGTACATATTACATATTTGTCGATATCTTTTTTGCGCCCTTCTGCCATCCAAAATAGAGGATCTAAAATTGCTGCATCCAAATTATATTTTTCCTGTTCCATGTTATTTTTTTTAAAGCCTAAAGAAAATGCAAAGTATGAAGATAGTTAGCTTTAAGGCCCATGCATATTGTAATTATATTAACTAGTCCTTTAACATTAATATGTTTGAAACTTTGATGTCTTTGTTTCCACCTAAATGTTACACTTATTTTCTTCTTTTTTTGTTTAATTTGCTCTAGAAAAATGTAAATCTGTTAAAATATTGACAGAATACAACATACCATTCCCACCCTCATATCAGTAATTCTGACTTAGGAGTCAGGCTTTTATGTATACACTCCCTCTTCTTGCTCCCTACCTCTAACATTATTTTGAGAAGAATGTTTTTTGCTGTTGAGTAGAATCTTCTATGACGGTGTTGGTTAGGCATATTGGGTTTCATTGGTGAAGTCTGTCTTTTCTTGATTTTCTGTCTAGTTGTTAAATGGGATGATATTTAAGTCTCTGTTATTGTGGTATTATCTATTTGTTCCTTTAATTCTGTCGGTTTTTGCTTCATATGTTTTGGGACTTTGTCATTGAATGTAGTTTTTATAATTGCTAGGTCTTCCAGATGGATTGCCCTTTTTATCATTATGAAAGGCCCGTCTTTTTCTCTAGTAACAATTTTTGTATTAAAGTCTTCTTTTTAGTTGGACGTCCATCATAGCTACTCCAGCTCTCTTTGAGGGGTATTTGAAACAAAAAGGTGTTATTTCTTTTTGTCTTTTTTTATTTCAACTTATTTGTGTCTTTGAATTTAACTCTCTGTGTTGGATCTTTTAAAATTTTTTTTCTGCCAATCTCTTTTTCTGGATTGGAGTCTTTAGCCTTTTGACTATCAACAGCTCCTGTAGGCATTCAAACAGGATGCTTGGTGCAAACATCACCTGTAGGCTTTCAATACAAGATATTCATTTGGTGGGAAGAGAGGCAGCCATTGTTCAATTTGTAAACAAAAACCTGAGGACACTGTGTTACTGTTTTGTTACCTGAGATGACTCTGTGAGCATCCTACACTTGATTCTAGATATTTTTCACAGTTGTGGGTAAAATAATTTGTATAAATAGTGGATTCCTGTGGAAATACATATAAATAAGGAGTATGATAAATACAATAAATTTATGGATTATACAGCGAGGCATGTTTTGGGTTGTACCATACAAAAAATAATTGTTAAATTTTTTATTGATATGGCAAAGTTTTATTGTTTTGTATTAATTTTTTTGTTTGCATATTTCTTTTTAAAATTTCTTTTTAAAAGAGTCATCAAGGTCAGACTACTCAGTCATTATTGGAGAATTTGGATATAGAGGTAGCTTTTAAAAATACTTCTCACAAAAACATAGACTATCAAGTACCTCAGAATCTGATTTGGAAAATGAAAGTGTAGAACCTGTTTCAAATTTAAAAGGCAATCTCAGCAACTTCAATGGACAAAATTTGAATCTAATAAAATCATATGATTTTGATGCAAATGTATCAGGAATAAAAGCTAGTATTTATAGCAAATCATTAATTTTAGAAGTTTTCCAGCTGTTCAAAGAACTTTTGGTTAATCATATTGTACAACTCTGGAGGAAGAAGTGTTTCTGATTAATAATCCATTCCATTCACAGAAAGGCATTTTCTATCAAAGTATAGCAATATAACAGTAATATGGCAAAAACACTTCCTGGAGATGCGTTTGCACAAAACATAAAGTGAAGCCAAACACTCTATTAGTGTGTACAATGTAATGTTGAATTATGTATTGAGGTGTGTTTTGAGTTGTACCATACAAAAAATAATTGGTAAATTTTTATTGATAAGACAAAGCTTTATTATTTTGTATTAATATTTTTGTTTGCATATGTCCTTTTAAAATAAATTATAAAATATTGAAACTGAAGCCAACTTGGGTAAATTATTTTGATTAGTAAGAAACTAAAGAACATCCAGTAAGTGAACCTGTACCCTGATGGTTGTCACTGCATGCCTTAGTTGGCTGGTTTCTGAGTGTTCTGCAGTGATAGGGTTAATCGTTTACTACATTTAATGCAGTTACTAATAAGAGTTTAGATCTGCATTTTGCTATTTTTTCTATATGTCATGTCTTTTTTTCTCCCTTTATAATACTGCTTTCTTTCTTGTTAAGTGTTAGTATACTATTTTAATTACTTTGTTTTACTGTTTATTAATGATTGCTCTGGGTATTATAAGTAACACCTTAGAGTGATTTAGTTTGCATTTACACCAGTTTAATTTCAATAGTATACACTATTGAACACTTTTCTCCAATTATAGCTCTTTCCCTTTTGCTGTCATCACACAAGTTACAGCTTTACACATTCTAACTATATCAATACAGTTTTATAATGAATGCTTCATATAGCTGTCTTTTAAAATCAGATTGGAAAAGAAAAGAATTATAAACAAAAATGCATGTATGTGTCTTTATATTCATTGATATACCCTACAAGTGCTTATATTTCTTTATGTAGGTTTCAGTTATTGTTTGATATCATTTTGTAGCTGCCTGAAGGACTTTTCTTTTAGGGCCAGTCTTTTAGCAACGAATTTTCTATTTTTTGTTATTCTGGGAATGTCTTAATTTTTTCTTCATTTTTAAAGGAAAGTTTTTTGGTTTTTTTTTCCTGTTTCTGGATAGTATTAATTGGCTTATCTTTATGTTTGCTGATGCTCTCTCTCTTCTTCTGGTTCATATCTGCTGTTGGGCTGCTTTAGTGATTTTTTTCATTTTAGTTATTGTTCTTTTCAACTCCAGAATTCCTACCATGTTTCCCCCAAAATAAGACACTGTCTTATATTTATTTTTTCTCAAGAAGACACACTAGGGCTTATTTTCAGGGGATGTCTTATTTTTATTAAGTATAATACAACAATCTATATTTATTCAAATACAGTTAAGTCTTCTTCTTCTGGAACCTGACAGGGGGAGCCGACCTTGTTGGTGGGGCTAGTGATGCGTGAACTCCTTTCCCCTAGCCGTTCACATGTGTGCAATAGGATGCCTGTGACCATGGTTAACACATGCGCACCCATGCAAGTGCGAATGGCTTGGAGAAAGGAGCTGTGGCGGATAAAAGGTATTCCAGTCTTCCTTACTGCTCTGCACTGAAATGCATAATGTGGCTATGCCCATCACTAGGTCTTATTATTGGGGTAGGGCTTATATTTAACAACTACATAGAAATCTTGCTAGGGCTTATTTTTTGGGTAGGTCTTATTTTCAGGGAAACATGGTATTTGGCTTATTTTTTATTTTTATTTTTTAAATTAAGAGATAAGATTTCACTTTGTGGCTTATGCTGGTGTCTTGAGCTCCAGGACTCAAACAGTCCTCCCACCTTAGCCTCCCAAAGTGCTGGGATTATTAGTGTGAGCTACCACACTTGGCCTTTAAAAAAATTACTATTTCTATTGATATTTTCTAATTGGTGATATAGCATTGTCATACTTTCCTCTTAATTCTTTAGGAATGGATTCTTTTAATTCTTATATATATTTATAATAGTCAATTAAAGTCTTAAGATGTTTTTTAAGTCTTAAGTTCTAGACTTCCTCTGAGACAGTTTCTATTAACTGCTTTTTTCCCCCGTATATGTATCATACTTTTTTTTGTATTGTACGTCCTATGATTTTTTGTTGAAAACTGGACATTTTTAGTATATGTGATGAGCCAGTTCTGGAAATCAGCTTTCCCTGCAAGCCAGAGTTGGTTGTTGTTTGCTGCTGTTCCTGTTTGCTTGTTTGTTGAGTTTCCCAGACTAGTTCTTTGAAGTCTGTTCTTAGTCATGCCATTTACAGTCTGTATTTCTTTTGATTGGACAGAGATTTTCTTAATTTTCCTTAAATGTTTAGAGCCTGTAATTCTATCAGCCTTTTTTGAAGGGTTTGGTGTGTATGTTGGGGCATGTTTCAGTGCTCTGACAGTTTACAAGTCTCCCTTAATCTTCATTTCCTTCTTGCACAGATGCTCAACAGAATTGAGAGGTTAGGACCTTCTTAAATCTTTTCCTCCAGTCTTTCCTTTTTAGTTTTTGGTCAGCCTTTTGTTATCATCAGTTGGTAATGTTGCCTCAGGCTGCTGAGATGTATCTAATTGTTGTTGACCCTGTTGTTGACCAAGGAATTGTGGACAAGGCTGTTCACACAAAATGAGTTCTTTGTTGGATCAAATACAGGCAAACCTCAGAATGGAGCTCCCCAGGGTACTGTCAGCCAGGTCAAATCATTCTCTGGGGGTCGGGTCTTTGAGGAGCTCCAAACCTGTTCTTCAGACCTAAGTGTGAGTGGTATGAAGTTGGATCTTTGTAACTCATGAACTTGTTCTTTCTTAAAAGGATATTAGTTGGTTTTTTGTTTGTTTGTTTGTTGAGATAATCTCATTACCGTCGCCCTGGGTAGAGTGTCATGGTGTCATATCTTACAGCAAACTCAAACTCTTGGGCTTTAGCAATTCTCTTGCCTCAGCCTCCCAAGTAGCTGGGACTACAGGCGCTTGCCACAACCCCTGGCTGTTTTTTTATTGCAGTTGTCATTGTTTAGCAGGCCTGGGCTGGGCTCAACCCCCTAGCCTCGATGTATGTGGCCAGCGCCGTAACCACTGTGTTGTGGGCACCGAGCCAGAATACTAGGATTAACTCAGATTCATATCTAAACAGTTTCATGATCAATCACTGTGAATAAAGTTGCTCTATATTTGAGTAGTTCTTTAGTATTCATTATTTTAAATTAACTAATTTGAAAGACCTTATTTAGTGGTAGTTGCAAGGTTTGTACCCAATCTGTTTTTGACTATTAACTACTTTTCCTCTCCCATGTATGCATCATATTTTTGTGTGCCCCATAATTTTATTGTTGAAACTGGACATTTTAAGTAATATCTGCCAACATCACAGGATATGTTGGCATTAACATAAATAGTCTCTTGATTTTTAATTTATTTTATTGATCATATTCACAGGTTCATCAAGGCTTATAAGAAGTTTGGTCTTCCTCTTGAACGGTAAGTTTAATTATTTATCTTCTTTCTTTCTTTCTTTTTTTTTAAGACAGAGTCTCACTTTATTGCCCTGGGTAGAGTGCTGTCATATCACAGCTCACAGCAACCTCCAACTCCTGGGCTTAGGTGATTCTTTTGCCTCAGCCTCCTAAGTAGCTGGGACTACAGGTGCCCACCAGAACACCCACCTGGCTATTTTTTTGTTGCAGTTTGGCCGGGGCCGGGTTCGAACCCACCACCCTTGGTATATGGGGCCGGCACCCTACCTACAAAGCCACAGGTGCCTCCTACAATCATTTATCTTCTATTTTACTTTTACTATATACCAGTTTCTTTTTTTTAAGAAAATAATATTTACCATTTAGCAGTAATGCTAAGAACATTTTTTTTTTTCCTGCAAACATTTTCTTTTCTTTTTTTTTTTGAAATAGAGTCTCACTCTCTGGCCCTTGGGTAGAGCGTGCCATAGTGTCCTAGCTCACAGCAACCTCAAACTCTTGGGCTCAGGCAATCACCTTGTATCAGCTTCCTGAGTAGTTGGGACTACAGACACCCATCAAAATGCTTGGCTAGTTTTTCCATTTTTAGTAGAGATAGGGTCTCACTCTTGCTGAGCTCAAGCAGTCTACCCACCTTGGCCTCCTAGATTGTTGGGATTATAGGCATGAGCCACTGTGTCCATCTCTTTCTGCAAACATTTTTTAACATTTATACATTTGATTCATGCATGTCCCTTTGCAGGGGGATGACAAAGATGATAAAGACAGACTGTGTATACAGAGATTTTTGGTTTTTTGGTGTCAGGATCTAGCTCAGTTGCCTGGGGCCTGGAGTGTGTCATCACAGTTCACTGCAACCTCCACCTCCTGGGATCCATCCCTCTATCTCAGCCTCCCTAGTAGCTGGGACTATACGCACATAGCACCACACCCAGCTAATTTTTGTAGAAATGGGTCTTGCTGTGTGCTCAGGCCAGTCTCAAAGTTCTAGGCTCAAGCAATCCTCCTGTCTCAGCCTCCCAAAGTGCTAGGATTATAGGTGTCAACCACTGTGTCCATCCATACAGAGATTTTATCTTTGTCAAGGCTATAAAGCAAATCTTCAAAACTGTAGTAAAAAATAATTTCCAGAAGAGATGTTCAGATAATTGCAGTTGAAAAAGAGTATGTGTAGTTACTATTTCCATTCTAGTTCTTAGATTTAAAAATGTCAAAGATAAAAGGCTCTTTGGATTTTATAATCTGCTACTAATTTCTAATAGTGATGTATTTTGTTTTGTACAAACTCCAGATAGCACTGATTTAGAGCAATTACCAAGTTCCTGCTGTTATACTTGATAAACCTCTAGAGCAGATGAAGATTTATAAGCCTGAATTTTTTGTTTTGTCCTCTCTCTCCATTTGGGGAGGAAGTGGTCAAATGTATCAGCAGGCCACAGTACAACCAAGAAAGTCAGGTGTATCCTTCCAGGACTATTTCTGGCCTACCAGGGGTAAACTGCCCATTACTGAGCCAGTTACTATAAAAACCAACAGAGGATGTAAAGTGAGTAAACCAACAGGCACCTTTTGACAGCCTGATGTTTAGCCATGAATATCTGTATGTTTCATGTGACTTAGAGGTCAACTAAACACATAGTAGAAGTAACTATTCTCTGCTTTTAGGAACATTGCAATGAATGAAGGTTGGCTGGAAAAATTCAGAAAGTGAACATAACGATGCAAACTCTAGCGCAAATGGTCCTCAGGTGCTTGGCATGCTGTCATTAGTAGACAGCCTATTTATTTAATAAACAAAAAGTTTGTTTTCCCTATTTCTATCCTCTGCATTTTGGAATTGCTTTGTTTTATAGAATATTCCAAGGCACGATTCTTCTTCATGATGAAAAAATGAGTGTGTGTTAGCCCTCAGTCACTATTCTAAGGATTCTTGTTGGAGCCTTGTAATGAAAAATAAAGGAAGACAGAGAAAAGTGTTTTTGCAGAAGCTTATATTGGACCTAGTGTATCTCATGTGACATTTAGAAAAACTATTGTTTTGAAGCCCTGTGCTTCAGGGCACTGGGTCCTGAAGTGGCTCCATATTTTCCTTTGCTCAGGCTGGAATGCATAGCACGTGATGCTGAGCTGGTAGATAAGTCTGTGGCAGATCTGAAACGCCTGGGTGAACTGATTCACAACAGCTGTGTGTCAGCAATGCAGGAATATGAAGAACAGCTGAAAGAAAATGCCAGTGAGGGTAAGTCAACAACCTTCAGCGACTCAGTCTCGAAAGCAGTCCCTTGGCATTCCCTTCAGGGTTTTTTAGGATGGACTAGGATCCTATACATGCCTAATGCTCAGCTGCCTTTATGTGAGCTCAACATTCTACTCATAAATGAAGATAATGTGTCGAAGGTGGAGAGTGATGAAATGGTTTCCTTTTTTGTTATAGAAAGAAAGTTTAAATTGGTTTGAATGATGGACACCTCTGTATTTTGGCTGCAAACAGGGGACGTTATAGACCACAAGCATCATTAGCTATGTTGGATATACTTGCACATATTGTGTATTGTGACAAACGAAAAGGATTTAGAGAATTAATTGAAATAAAATATTGGATGAATATTGTAAACATTTTTGTTACATTGAGATTTCATGCCACTAGAATTTGTTGTAATTGGATTGGACGTGTAGTTTGTTTTCTCTTAGACACCAGAAAGTGTTTTTGCCTGTTGTGTGTGATCTCTCTAAAAGCAGGAGGTGTGGGGATGCTTGTGAGGAGAGAGCTCTGAAGTAGTTATTGGTACAGGACACCTCATAGTGAACCTCAAAGAAACGAGGGTGTTGTCATTCCAGTTGCCCGGACTGTGGTTTATCTGTGCCATTTTCCCCGTTCTTTTGTCACGCTTCGCTACGCTAGGTAAGGCTACCCTTTGGAGGCTTTGTCGAGTGATGGTTAAGGGTTCAGGCTCTGGAGAACAGCCAGTTATCTGGAATTTTCATTTTGTCACTTTCTAGTTATAAGACCTTTGGCAAGGAATAGTTCCTCATTTGCAACATAAAGTAATAGTACCTACCTCAAAGAGTTTGGATGATTCATTGGATAATTCTGGGACTGCCTTGTTAGCTATCATTAAGTAAAGATGGAGGATTTATGTTTTGGAATTTTTTTTGTAAGAATATTGTTGAAATTAATAGAATTAAAAAATATAGTCAAAACTCATTTTAAGATGTATTTTCTTTTTGTAATAAAAGAAACTTAAGTAACCTTGGTTTGGACAGTGATCTGAATTTGTGCTTTTGTAGCACCCAGAATACACCCAAAAGTAGATTTGACATTTAATGTGTAATGTTTTTTCTTTGTTAATTGTTTTGAATAAGCAGTAAATTTACAAGGCTCAAAACCGAAAACCATATATCCCTATTATTTCTTAACATTTTATTTTTTCCTATCTAAGCATAATGAATAGTGCAGCATCCACACTGTTCTGTATCTTTTCCATTGAACGGTATATTTTGGAGATGCTTTCTTATGACATTTACCTTCTCCTCCCCCACATCTGTCCCTCTTTTTTGGGGGGTGCATGTTCACATTCTGGATCTGGTTTATTGCTTTCTCTGGCCTTGTTTAACTTGTTTCTCCTACATCTGTATTTCCTGTAAATTGGTATTTAGTATATTCTGAGTCCGGGTTGACATTTTCAGAGCAAATATAAAATTATTGATATCCTTTTTCTCTTAGGCTGAAATGTTTGTTCCTAAAAATGTTGATATATTTATATATTTGCTTTATCCTACCCATGTATTTCCAAATATCAATACCAGTTTTACTGTTTGAATGCAAAGTTTGATTTCTTCACAATTTTTTTGTCCTTAGAATATAGTCCAATAATAATGTACAATCAAATATTTTAAAATTATTAGAAGTTATTCTTTTGTCTGTGTGATTATGCCACCAACTTCATACCCAGTTAGACTCTTTTTGTTTTCATTTATTTTCAGTTTTAGAGATTAATTTTCTCATTTTGATTTAACTTGACTTTGTGAAAACTATAAAACAAGGTACATTTGGAGAATCTTGCTTTCATCTCCCTTCTCCAATGCGGTTCTCTTCTTTCCACATAGGTCACCACCATCTCTTAGTTTTATCTTTTAATTATTTCTTTTTTATAATGTAAGGGTGTATGCATTTGTCTTTTCCCCCTTATACAGAGGAGAACATACGTACTTGGTTTTATACCTTACTTATTTTCACATCTGAGATTATCATTAAGAGAGAATCTTTTTTCCTTTTACAGTTGTACCGTAGTCCATCTTGTAGTTAGATTCCAGTTCATACTTTTTTGTTCCCTAGTGATGAATATTTGAGTTGTTTTCAGTCTTTTGTCATTATAAATAAAGCCACAGAGGATAATGGTCTGGTGAATATGTCATTTTGTGTATCTGCCAGCTTATCTTTGGGATAGGTTTCTCAAAGTGGGATTGCTGGGTCCTGGGGAAAATGCGTAGGTACTTTGCTTCAATATTGCCAAATTCTCCTGCATAAGTCTGGTGCCATTTACGTAACCACCAGCAATGCTTGTTGGTACCTGTTTACAAGCCTCACAGATAGATTGTTAAATATTTACATTTTTGCCAGTCTGATAGGCGAGAAATGGTATCTCATTTTTCTTTTAAGTTCCATTTGCATTTTGTTTTCTATAAACTGTCTATTCATATATCTGCCCATTTTCTATGGACAAGCATTCTTACAAAAGAGTGGCATCATCTCATGCATTTGAACTTGGACTCTTTGGTTAGAGTGACTGGGTTGGTTTCATTTTTGCTTATAAGATTATTTTAGTTTGAAAGTTGGGTTATGGTAACCTTATGTCATTCCTTTGTCATCTCAGCTGTGTTACATATTAACTTGATCTTACACTTTTTCAGTAACGATGTTATAAAGATGTATGTAAATGTATATAAAGAGTATGAATCATCTTTAAAACACTTGAGTTTTTTGGAACTTCACTAATGGGATAAGTGGGAAAAACTTCAGCATTAATATAAACCTTCAGAATCTTCTTTTTATTAACTTAGTACTTTTAGAACCAAAGTATTATAAATTAAATAGGAAGAGTACAATACATTATAAACACCAGTGTATTAAAACATTCTAAGCCTTAACTGAATTGTTTGAAGGTTATTTTATAAACATTAATTGAGGAAAATAATTTGTCTTTATAGATTTGATCTTTGACTGCCAATAAAAGATTGAGATGTACATAGGGACTGAAAATTCAGAGTTTGGTTTTCTGTGGAACTTCAGCAAATTTTCTTATTTCTAATGTGAAATTGATATTCTTCAGGGAAAGGACCAGGGAAAAGGAGAGGTCCTACTATTAAGATATCTGGAGTTCAGGTTAATGTGAAATCCATTATCCAACATGAAGAAGAGTTTGAGATGCTACATAAATCTATACCTGTGGACCCAGAAGAAAAAAAAAAGTGAGTGTATTTTGTGTACATCCATGGGGTGGTTGTACCGTAAGAAAACAGATTTGAAATTATACTCGTGTGTAGTCATATAGTGTTTTTACTGTCTAGTCTTTAACATGTCAGAAAGGCCCCTCTTCTAAAGTCTTCCTGTTTTAAAAATCCCTTCAGATACTGCTTAACATGTCGTGTCAAAGCTGCACATTTCGATGTAGAGTGGGGAGTGGAGGATGATTCTCGCCTGTTGCTGGGAATTTATGAACATGGCTATGGAAACTGGGAATTAATCAAAACAGATCCAGAGCTTAAATTAACTGACAAAGTAAGTAACTCTGCCAGAGGTTTCTAAATGGTTTGTTATATACTATTTTTATGTTGATGTTTTTATTTCTGACTGTTTTTGAGGGGGGCATCAATTTGGAAATTGGTACAATAGTAAGTTCCTGAGGTTTCTCGGTCCTGGGAAATGTTTCTATCTTTAATGGACTGTGGCGCTATTTCATAGATGAAGATAAAGGGGAAGACAATAGCCGTGTGAAATTTGGGGGAAGTCATAGGAGAAATCCTAAAATTCTGGTATTTATTATAGGTGGAATCTCATTACAACAAATACCAAGGGTAAGTTTATTAATAATGAAAACATTCTTTGGCCTTAGTTGTTGGCCGTTTATTTAAAAGTACTTTTGAAACAACCATATTCCATTTCTACACATAAGGAAAGAACGTCACTTTGGTATTTTTTTGTAATGGAATTACATAGGCTGTTCTTCTCCTATACAAAATTGAGCCTCCCACCCTGTCCGTTGCAAATCACAAGGCCATAGTTAGAGCCATTATCAAGGAAAGCTGACTGGTTAAATTTTTTAAGAATTTGCTCCATGTTGTGCTCCTGGCAGGGCTCTTCCTAGCACATCCAACCATGCTCATCCCATCTGGGTTTTAGGAGGGTGACAGCACCCTGCCATAAGCACTGAGACCAAATCCAGTCTGGCCTTAGAGGTCCAACTGTAGTAGCAGGAAATGAATTATCATGTCCTGGCATAGCTCAGTGCTCTCCAACAATGCTCTAAGAAGCATTTTCAATCTAAAATGAAGCTTTAACCTAGCTCCAGGGATTCCCTGCTCCTGGAAGGAGGAAATCCACGACGGCTGGGATGCTCTAGCAGATGAAGCCACAAGCCCCTCCTACCTGAGTTGTTCTACCCTGTTAACAGCACAGGTAGGAGTCATTGGGAGAGCTGTTTTTCTCCATCCCATTTTGTAAAATGAGAACAGCTCATGAGGGATTCTCAGTGACTGGGAGCCATGGACATGAGATAGGATCTGAGGCTTTAATCTATAGTTTGGGTGGTTGGAGGGGGAAAAGACTGTACTCAGTTCTTTGTTGTCTGTTTCTTTTAATCCACTAACCGGGATGTGGGTGATGGTGGATGTTCTCTTCCTTTCTTGTTGAAGATTCTGCCTGTGGAGACAGATAAAAAACCTCAGGGGAAGCAACTACAGACCCGAGTGGACTATTTGCTGAAGTTGCTCAGGAAGGGTCTGGAGAAGAAGGGGGCTGTCACAAGTGGGGAAGAGGTAAGGACTTGCCAGCTGGGTGTTCTTCAAGTGGCTGAGGCTCCAGCCATGCAATGTTGTAGCAAAAGAGAAGCCTCCTGTGATTGTTACATAGAATGTCACCTCATGGGCAGATGCTGCTTTTGATGTTCCAGTAGGGACCAACTTATTGGCAATGGAAATGTTGACTTAAGACCTCAGTGTCTTGGCAACATTTTTTACAAAACGATTCTTCTCAAATGTTGCCTCCACATAATTCTGATTTCTCTCCAGTGCTTCTAGACCCAGGTGTATTGTTATTGCCACTTTATCTTCCTCAATTTTTGAATATAGTTACAGTTTATTGCACTGAATATTAATGAGTTTGCATATTATATATAACTCTGAACTACTTGTAATAGTGGTTCTCAGGGATAATTGAGGAACTGGACTTCATTTATGATAACTTGTTTAATGAAAAATACCAACTGTATATTGAATCTCCTTTCATTTACCCAGCTTAGTTTAGGCCTTGAAACTGGGACTCCATTTAGGAGACATTTAAGCTGCATCCTATACCTGTACCCTTTGTTTATGCATGTTCCTTGAGCGCTCTTATAGGTTCCCGCCCCTTTTTAAAAGTTTTTATTTATTTATTTTTTATGGAAACAGGTTCCCTCTTTCTGTTACCCAGGCTGGAGTGTAGTAATGTGGTCATTCCTCACTGTTAACTTGAACTCCTGGCCTCATATGTGATCCTCCCACTTTAGCCTTCTAAAGTACTAAGATTATAAGCATGAGCCACCGTGCCCAGTGTCTTGTAACTATTACATTTGTATTAATTTTTTCCAGGCCAAATTAAAGAAGCGGAAGCCTCGAGTAAAGAAGGAAAACAAAGTACCCAGGCTGAAAGATGAGCATGGAATTGAGTTTTCATCTCCTAGACATTCAGACAATCCCTCAGAAGAGGGAGAAGTAAAGGTACGAGGCTAGATTTCAGTTGAGGGTGTTTTTTTAGTTTATTGTACAAACTGGATTAAAATAATTTGAAATGTATTTGATTTACATGTAGAATAGATGAAAATAAAATTCTTATATCTTGAGCGGTGCCTGTGGCTCAAAGGAGTAGGGCTCCGGCCTCATATACCAGAGGTGGCGGGTTCAAACCCAGCCCCGGCCAAAAACTGCAAAAAAAAAAAAAGAAAAAAGAATTCTTGTATCTTTGCTTACTCTGTCAGAGAGGAATATAATTGTTCCTTTAAGTCAGCAATTGCGAGTTCCAATAATGGAAGTAGAGGAAGGGGACTAATGAGTGGCAGTTAACACTGAGCTTCATTGTTGGGAACGGTATGTAGTGGTAGGGACTCTGGTCAACCAGAGAGCTCATGCCTCATGTGAAGGGGGCAGCCACTGTGGAACAAAGTGCTTGTGGGTCGAATTTGGCTCAAGTCTGCCAGTTTGTAACCTCAGATCTAAGTAAATTGGTATCATTCAGTGTTAGTCAATGAGTGACAACTTTATGAGATTTCTTAGAGTGTAATCACACTTTGAAATTAGCCCCAGAGGGTCAACAGTGGCCCAGGAAGGAACTAGCATGGGCGTGAGTCATGGATACATACATTCACATGCTGGTAGTCTCACCGTTTATAAGGTGGCTGTGTACAGGTATATACACAGTTTTTGCTGTCTATGAAATGGGAATGACAATGCCTCTGTTGACAGGTTTCTATGAGAATTAAATCCAAGGATATAAGTAAAGAATGTTTGTCTTTACAGTCTTAATTGGCCATTCCTAGAGAGTATAGCATTGTGCCAGTGAGTCCTTTAAAGCCATGTGCTTAAAAATGAGCTTCTAAGTGTGGACATTGCGATGAACGCCTGGGAGCAGTGCTTCTTTCTGTGGAAAGTGGTTGAATAAGTATAAAGTCTGTGGCAAAAGTTCATGGCCCCATTTGTTTCCTAGGATGATGGCTTAGAAAAAAGTCCAATGAAGAAAAAACAAAAGAAGAAAGAGAACAAGGAGAACAAGGAGAAACAGTTGAGTTCTAGGAAAGACAAAGAAGGGGACAAGGAAAGGAAGAAATCAAAAGATAAGAAAGAGAAGGTATTGGAACCATTCTATTTATGGAGATGGCCAGAGCCTTGGAAATTGACTGTTTGGTTTAGAAAGGGAATGGGGTTTGTGGGCTGTGGAGTAGTTGTCTTTTTATGGGTATAGCCAAGAAGGAAGGATGGGGCTTTTGAGGGATGCCCATATCCCTCCTGCAGAAAGAGAGGAGTGTGAAAGTTTGGGGTATTCTTTAAAATAGAAGGCCTTTACTTGATCTTTCTGACATTATTTCGGGAGGTGGGGAGAGTTGTTTGAATGAGATAGGACAGGTGACAGATCTGAATTTGCTTTTACATGTAACTGCTTGAAATATGTTTTCAGATTCATATTAGAAGAGCATAATACACAGGTGAACCTCAATATTTCAAGAGTTTAGGAGTCAAAACAAATATTATCAAGAGTTACTAGAGAGGCTGGGTACCCGTAGCTCAGTGGTTAGGGTGCTGGCCACATGCACACAGCTGCTGGATTGGAACCCTGCCCAGGCCTGCTAAAACAGCAACAACGAAAAATAGCCAGGATTTGTGGCAGGTGCCTGTAGCCCCAGCTACTATGGAGGCTGAGGCAAGAGAATCACTTGAGCCCAAGAAATTGAGGTTACTGTGAGCTGTAATGCCACAACACTCTATTGAGGGCAACAAAACAAGAATCTGCCTCAAAAAAAAAAAAAGTTACTAGATTATAAATGGATGAAAAGCTTTGCATTATATAGTCTTTTATATTTGGGTGTTGTGAAGTTGTTCCAAATGGTACAATGGTACTGTGCATGTATGCCTGCTGACCTCTGAACAAAATATTTTATAGTTAATCCTTAATTATTGCCAAAACATACAAACAAAAGTACAAATATAAAAATCAGATTAGGCTGTTTAAATAGCCTTTCCTCCTCACTTAGCTAATATATCGCAACTTTCTAAATGAATGAATGTTAAAATCATTTTTTTTTTTTTTTTTTGTGAGCCAGAGCCTCAAGCTGTCCCCCTGGGTAGAGTGCCGTGGCATTACAGCTCACAGCAACCTCCATCTCCTGGGCTCAAGCGAGTCTCCTGCCTCCGCCTCCCAAGTAGCTGGGACCACAGGCGCCCGCGGCAACGCCTGGCTATTTTTTGGTTGCAGCCGTCATTGTTGTTTGGCGGGTCCGGGCTGGGGATTCGAACCCGTCACCTTAGGTGTACGTGGCTGGCGCCTTAGCCGGTTGAGCTATAGGCGCCGCCTAAAATCATTTTTAATAGGTGGGGAGGAGTCTGTTTAGCTTAAACATGTTGAAAGCAATTTTTTTCTTTGTTTTTTCTTTTTAAGATAAGAGTCTCACTGTGTCGCCCTGAGTGCTATGGCATCATAGCTCACAGCAACCTCAAACTCTTGGGCTCAAGCGATTCTCTTGCCTCAGCCTCCCAATTAGCTGGGACAACAGCTGCTCCCCTCAAAGCCTGGCTATTTTTTGAGACCGGGTCTTGTTCTTGCACAGGCAGGTCTCAAAGCCGTGAGCTCAGGCAGTCCACCCATCTCCACCTCCCAGGGGGCTGGCATTATAGGTGTGAGCCACTGCACCCGGCCTGAAAGTAATTTAAATCTCCTGCATTGAAATGCCTTTAAATTTTGAATGTTGATAAACCATATTATGACAAATACTTGTTCATTTGTGCTCCCACAGAAAGACATTCATTCTCTTATAAGAAATATTTCAAAATTAACAGCACAGAGAGCAATTTACAAAACATCTATATATCTACTGTCTAGACATTATTAATATTGCAGTTGTTAACATTTTTTCCTGTTTATGTTAAGTGCTTTCTTGTGGGGGAGGCACCTGTCTTCTGTATTTTATGAACATTATTAACTAGTGCTGTCTGAGCTCCTCCCATGTCCTCGCTCTCATTTCATTACTCTTGTTCCTGCTTTTTATTATAACCACTACACTGAAGAGCATTTGAAATCTTCCTGTTCATGTTTCTATACTTGTACTGCAGAGTACAAAGTACATACTTATTATATAACCATAAACACAGCATGGTATAGTTTTGTTTTAAAATGCTTGTACATGAAATCTGTGTCTATTGTTCTGCAACCTTTTCTTCAGTATAATTTTGTGATTTATCCATGTTGATTCATAAAGATTTCAGTCAGTGACTAATAGTTTAGTTAATACAAATTCCCAGAATATCTGGTAGGCTATTAATAAAAGTTGCGGCTCGGCGCCTATAGCTCAACGGCTAAGGCGCTAGCCACATACACCTAAGGTGGTGGGTTCGAATCCCCAGCCTGGACCCGCCAAACAACAATGACAGCTGCAACCAAAAATTAATAGCCGGGCGTTGTGGCAGGCACCTGTGGTCCCAGCTACTTGGGAGGTGGAGGCAGGAGACTCGCTTGAGCCCAGGAGTTGGAGGTTGCTGTGAGCTGTAATGCCATGGCACTCTACCCAGGGGGACAGCTTGAGGCTCTGTCTCAAAATAAATAAATAAATAAATAAATAAATAAAAGTTGCTAGATACCATAAAAGAGTTCTGCCAGTTTATAATCTTAACCTTTTGATGACATTTTTGTGTGTTTTATGAATGAGGGAAGAGAAGCCCCCAAATAATAGCATTGATGAAATTAAAGTTAAATTTGGTACATTTAGAGACAGAAATGGGAATCAGGTATGAGTAAGTTGCTAATCATGTAGGCTTGTCTTCATGATGTCTCAAGACTTTATTTTGCTTTCTATAAATAAACTAAAGCCATATTTACCCACTGTGGTAATGCGTTATAGGGAAGAAGTCCAAATGGCAAGGTAGGATTGCACAAATGACAATGACTCCTTATAACTCTTCTTTAAAAGCCTAAAGGTGGTGATGCCAAATCTTCAAGTAAATCAAAGCGATCTCAGGGTCCTGTCCATATTACAGCAGGAAGTGAACCTGTCCCTATTGGAGAAGACGAGGATGATGATCTGGACCAGGAGACATTCAGCATAGTAAGTCTTAAAATTGAGGGATGCCAGTGTCTGCAGCCATGGTGCTTGCTGTGGCTTTCTCTGTCTTTTATAGGTCCAGCCACAGACTTTCAGTTTATCTAAGCATTAGCACCATTACTTGGGAAACACATTACTTATAACATCTGAAGAAGACGTGCTCTGAAACAGGCTAGCAAGAAGGGGTTTTCTTGTGAGGAAGACGTTTAGGACTATATTTCCTGTCCAATGCTCCGAGTTAGAAAGGCTGTAGGGCCCTTAGAGCCATTTGGGAAATAACAAATGTTTACTTAGTGAACATATATTAAATGTTTTCTGTATACTTGTCTCCCAGAGTTACCATGTTGGATAAACAATTGTTTCTATCAGTGTAAATTTTACATTTCAGTAGGGCAGATAGTCAGATAACCACACCTGTCACGTTGGTGCTGTGATGGGACTGCGGAGGAGAGCTGGAGAGGAGGGGATTTGACTTAGTCAGGCAGTGCCAAAAAGGATTATTTAAGGAAGTGATAATTTGAATCGAGTTTTGAAGGGACCGTAAAAGTAAGGAAAGAGGAGAAGGCAGAGCATACCAAGGCCAGGCAACAGCACGCACAAAGGCTGAGTGCAGCTCCATTTGTGTGGATTTGCAGGCTGCCACACTGGAGGGTGAGAGCGTCCCATGGCCTGGCAAGGGAGAGGGTGGCTCTTGGCTGAGGGACTAGGACATGTGGTTAGGGTGCTGTCCATACACGCTTCCATGCTGTGTGCTAAGAGCCAAGACACAGCCCAGGAAATGTGGCTGTATTTCCTCATACCAGGTTGACAAGGTGATAGGGAATGAGTGCATGGACCAGGCCTTGCATTGGATTTGATACAGGCTGCTTTTTCCTTAAGGCCTTGCTGGAGCTACGTGTATAGATTTCATTTTGTTATATTTCATAATGCCCTCTCCCACCTCTGTTATCTCTTTTCCCCCCAGACATCTACAGATCAGTGCACTGAAAATGCTCCTGTCATTTGGCAGGAAAGTGTAGAACATCGACCCTGTTCCATGACCTGCCTCTTTTGATCTCTTTCTCCTGGGTTATCTAAAACCTAAACACACATATATATTTATCTTTTTTCTTTACACTTATCTCTGTTTTCTTTTCTGCTCATGAGCTCTCCAAGGGGAAGTTTATTTTCTATAAAGTCCATTTAGATGTTAGAAGTATATCAATAAACAGGTAAATTGAGAAATGAACAAATTAATTACGTAGCCAGCTATGTGATCTGTAACCTTCCTTAGCTCAGTGTTTATAAGAGGAAATAATATCTAATGCTTTTATGGTATCAAACCATTTTAAAATGCTCTTAGGATTACACTCAGTTAATCTTGTTTTTTTAATTATGATTTTTTTTTAAATAGAGAAAAGTTTCAGGAATATAATAGGCATTGATAAAGATACCATGAAACTTTATCAAATCTGAATTTTTGAAGACCCAAAACCAAAAGTTCCTTTCTCTAAACCCATGCATTTTCTTTCTTACCTCTGAGAGGTAACCATGATTTTAAATTTGATTTTTATGCTTAACTGTGGTTTTAGAGTTTTACTACTTATGTCTATAAACATGGTAATAACTAACATGAACACCCAGGCACTGTTTGTATGCTTTATGTGTATTTTCTCCCCAACAATCCTGTGAGATAGGTTATTATCTCCATTTTATGTATTAAAAAATGTGAAGGGAGTGAAGTAGTTTGTCCTATGTCACACAGCTAAGACATAAGGCAAAGTTTTGACCCAGGCCAATTGTCATGAGAGCTTGGGTCCTTAATCACTGTACTACGTCACCTCCTTCCCATGTTTCCACGAACAACATAGACTATTGATTTCCATGTCTGAAAACTTTGTAAATGGTGCACTTGTGAGTCTTGTAAATTGCTTTTCCTCCCGTAATATTTACATTTTTGAGATTTATTCTCAGTGATAATTATGGCTCTGATTTAAACAATTTATGTTATTCTGTTTTATGGCCTCCACAATTCATTCTTTCTTTTATTGATGGACATTTGGATTTTCCAAAATATTTACTGCTACAAGTAGGTCTCAGAGAAATTGTTGCGTGTATTTTCTTTTACACACAAGTGAGAGCTTCTCTGGTGTGTATGGCTTGAGCAGAGATACTAGGTCATTTATATGATATGAACTTCTACCTGCTCTGAATTACTCTTCATAGCAGGTATAGAGATTTGCACTCCTACCTGCAATGAATTCAGGTTCCTATTGCTTCCTAGCCACAGAAACAGTTGGGCATTTCTGAATCATAATTTTTGCCAATCCGAGGACTGTAAAATACTGGTGGTGTCATTGAACATTTATTTTCATATTTATGAGGCATTCATGATTCTGGTAAATTGCCTGGTCATATCTGTTGCCTATTTTGAGTAATTTTTCTTACTTTTTATAGGAATTCTTTATACATTCCTGATCCTAATCTTTTTCTGATAGCCTTTATACATATTTCATTTTATGGTGTATCTTTTTATTTTGTGTCATTTAAAAAAATTGAAGTACAGCCTTGAAAGGTATACAGATCATAAGTGTATAGCAATAGGAAATTATCACAAAGCAATGGAATTTTGTAGGGTTTTCATTATGCTGAAATTTATAATCATAATGTCTTTTCCCATTGTGCTAGATAATGGCTGGCAACCATGTCTTACAGTTATGAGAAGTTTTCTTATATTACTTTGTGGAAGTTTCTTCTCTAAGTTCTCAGTTTTAACTTTATGGAATTCCTGGTTTTGGATATTAGAGTCTGGATATTGGTCCCTCATTTCATCTTTTGTTAAATTTTCCATTTCTCCATTTTACTCTACTTTCTGGGGGAGTCCTTCAACCTCGTTGTACATTTTTTCTTTTTAGTTGTTCATTTCTCTTGTCATGTTGCATTTTTAGTGTCTTCTCCCCTCTGGTTCTCTGAATGCTTCTATACTTCTGTTTGTTTTCTGTTGGCCATATTACAGATTTTCCTCCAATGGCTTTGGTCATCCTCAGTTGTCATCTCCTATTTAAGAATGGGCAACTAAACATGTGATCAGAAGCTCTGAGCCCTGTCTGTAGGGCTTGTTAGGGCCTTAGGAAGTTTTCACAGTAGAATGATCTGGCCCAGCTTCTTCACTGGGGAACTTCTGATGGATAGTCAGCATCTTTTTGTTCTTCCTTGGGCATGGTCACATTTTGTGAAGAACTCCCATTCTCCTGATAGGAGGGTGAAGAAGGCCTAGCTGTGTTTTGTCTGGACTCTTGAGAGGCAGAAGGCTGGCAGGGGCTCAGTTAGTGCGTGTATGCGTGTGTCCACGTCCTAGTCTCAGCGTGGTGGACTCGCCCTGCGGTTGGGCCTGTGTGGCCTAGCTCAGAGCCCTTTTTGTGTCCTCTCTGGGGAATAAGCTTTCATACTGTTACTGGTTAGAGTTAGAGATCTGGATGTCTTTCATGAATATGGTTATCTGTTACTTTTAAAGCAGTCTTTAAACTAATTAGTATTTTAGCTCTCATCCTTATCGCCAGAGACACCTGGCCTTTGGGGGACTTTTTAGTTTATATCAGGTTGATTCTTAGCTCTCCCCATTGCTGGCTAAGGATTTATTTTCTTATGTCTGTTTCCCTGTGCTGCCAACATTTTGCTGCTGTTGTTTTCTCTCTTAATTTTCCGTATCTTTGTGGGATTTTTAGACAATTCCTTTGATGTTTTAGTGTGGTTGGAGAAGAAAATATCTTTATGTTCTATTTACCGTTTTTATCTGAAAGACTTTCCCCTTATTTTAGGCCTAAAAGATTTGTAAATTTTTTTTTGGAGACAGGGTTTTGCTCTGTCACCCCACCCAGAGTCCACTGGCATCATCATAGTTCACGGCAACCTCCAACTCCTGGGCTCAGTCACTCCTCCTGCTCAGCTTCTGAGTAGCTGGGACTATAGGTGCACGTCACCAGGCCTGGATAATTTTTCTGGGTTTTGTACAGATCCCTGGTCTGGAGGATTTGTAAATATTTTATCCTTCATTTTTAGTTAGCTTTGGTTGGAGGTTTTTAGGTTAGGTCTGTAATTCTGCTCTTCATTTAATCTTCATAATGGCCTTGTGAGGCACGATCATGTCCCTTTCACAGATGAAGAAATAGCATTTAGAGAGGTTAAGTAAGGTATAAAAAGGTCATCCTATAAGTCCTAAGTGATGGTCCACTTGTACCTCAAGGTTTCTGACTGTGATTCTTGCTCCACTGTACTAGCTTTTACCTGCTCCGCTAGCAATCAGAGGGCATGAAGGTGGGTTGTGTTTTCTCTGATGTGGGAATTCAGGCCACACTGAGCAAACGAGAAGACTTCTTCCCTGCACGTGGTTTATGTCTCTACTCTGTCGGCCTGTTGCAGTGTAAGGAGAGGATGAGGCCCGTGAAAAAGGCATTGAAACAGCTGGACAAACCTGACAAGGGACTAAATGTGCAAGAACAACTGGAACACACCCGAAACTGCCTGCTGAAAATTGGAGATCGGATAGCCGAGTGCCTTAAAGCCTACTCAGACCAGGAGCACATCAAACTGTGGAGGAGGTAACCACTTTGGCCTTGAATCTGCTCAGTTTGATTTGACAGAGTGTGTGGATGGCTTCTGTTTTTGTTTAAGTTTTATTAACAAAGGTGGCATAGCCACCTAAGGAAAATCTTTTCCCCTAATAAACACCATCCATTGGCAGTGTATCTGCAGGCTTCAACTTCCTTTTCATGAAATAGGCTTTTCCACTGAGACCAGCCTTTTGAAAGGGGTAGGGTAATGTCATTAGTGTATAAGGGAAAGACAGTGATGGTGGATTTGCTGGCCTAGTCTCAGAAATAAATTCTCTTTAAGAGAGGCCAGGCATGGTGCCTCACGCCTGCAATCATAGCACACTGGGAGGCCAAGACAGGCAGATCAACTTAAGGTCAGGAGTTTAGGACCATTCTGAGCAAGTGCAGGACCCTGTCCCTCCCAAAAATAGAAAAAGATTAGCCGGGCAATGTGACACATGTCTGTAGTCCCAGCTACATGTCAAAAATGGGGTGGACGGGGCGGCGCTGTAAAGGAGAGAAATCATCTGGTCTTAATTACAGCTTGAGGCCGATCTTCAGATATTATTATATCTAATGCAACTAATTAGATATAATTAGATATACCAGTACTAGTAAAACAAAGGTTAAAACCCCTATGATTTCCTTATTTTCATTCCCTTCTTTTATAACATAATTTGAATTGATTTCCTTAATCTGGGCATTCAGTTTGTAAAGCATCATGGTTTATAAATGTTTATTTACATAGTCACTTGTGATATTTAAAAAAAAAATCTGGAAATTCTAAAAGATGTTGTAACGCTAAGTCTCCTTTCATAAACCAGTTACCTTAAATTTGTATATTTCACAGATAGTATCTTTGTATAATGTGTGTAATCTCAGTGGGTTGGTTTTTGAGTAAAAAACAGATTTAAGAAAACTGTCCTGATACTATCCATAGCATGCTTTGCATCCATAAATAAAAGATCTAATTTTTGAAACATTTTTTTTCCCACTTGGCATTTACCAGCTTCTTCTTTTAGAGAGCACATCTGGCACATCTGGCTTTCTTTTTACCTGATTTAAAAGATAGAAAAAGTCATCTTAGTGCATAGATCTGTGAAGCTAGACTTGTGTTTAAGTGTGCAGGCACTGTGATTTTGGCTACCAGAAGTTCATACAAAGGTCCTTGGCATTGGAGAAGTAAAAAATAGCACAAGATAAGATTCCTAAGAACTGTCCATCATGAAGCAGTAAATCCAAGTCCCTAAATCCCTCGCAGTTTCCTCTCTGTTTCACTTCTAAGGCTTTGCTAAAGCTTAGAAAGGAAGGTGAGTGGTTTTCCATCAGGTGCAGTAGGTTTTCTAGTTAGGGACCTTGTGTAGGTGTTCTGTCAGTGGCATAGCATGGCATGGTGAAACTGCCCAGTGGAAAGTTTGAGAAAATATGATATAATACTCTTTTTACTGTGACTACGTATGCCTCTTCTTTCTAAATGCCTGTTTTATCATATCGTTCCCCATTTGTATAGTAATGCCATGCTAGGGTGAGTGTAATGGAATTGGAGGGAAGGAGTCACTGAGACTTTTAAGGAAGAAACAACAGGCCTTGGTGATGACAACTGAGAAGAAAGAGGGGCAGAGCACAGAGATGACCAACCAAATGTAGGTCTCCACCTGGGAGAGGTGGTAGAGATGAGGGACTGGGTGGCAGAGTTCAAAGAGTGGGGAATGTGGAAGAAAACTTTCAGGACTGGAGCTGGAGTCCTTAATTACTGCTTATGGAAATTTGGTCAAACTCTTTTGACAGAAGCATATAAAGATGTGCAGTAAATTCTCAATGTTTCTTTCTACATTGATGAGAAGAAAAATTGGTTTTGTTAAACATTGTCTTGCTTAAAGTTGCAGTTTCTAAGAAGCTATCTACGATTTTAAGGGAGGACATACTGTATTAATGATGCAAAGACCAGAAACAATACTTGTGTAACTTAATTTCTATACTTGGAGAGCATTTCACAGCAAAATTTAATAGCCTGCCATCCATAAAGAGCATAAACGGTTATTTTTTAATTCTATAATTTATCAGAACTGTTAATTTTTTTTTTAAGGAACCTGTGGATTTTTGTTTCCAAGTTTACAGAATTTGATGCTCGAAAACTACATAAGTTATACAAGATGGCTCATAAGAAAAGATCTCAAGAAGAGGAGGTAAAATACAAAATTAATCTTAGTTTATACCAACAAATGAAAACAAATTCCACAGAAAAATTTCTTACTGTTTTTCCCTGGGGAGGTGGTCATAATATTGTAGGTTGTTTTTGGTGCCAGAAAGGTCAGTGGTTTTTTGCTATTAGATTACAGATGGAGGCACAGGTCCAAGAGGTGAAGAAAGCCTCTATAGGTTACAAAATATGTGGACTGCAGGTTGCAGTCCAGCCTGTCTGGTACAGTGTGCTCTTCCCTGTGTTAACTGTACAGTTTCTCACTATACTCCACTACCAGTCAAACAGTAAGACAAGGCTGTTAAAATTCTGACAAAGATGGCTCGGTGCCTGTGGCTCAAGCGGCTAAGGCGCCAGCCACGTACACCTAAGGTGGTGGGTTTGAATCCAGCCCGGCCCGCCAAACAACAATAATGGCTGCAACCAAAAAATAGCCGGG